ACACACACACACACACACACACACACACACACACACACACACACACGAATCAGAGCAGACAGATGGAATGGCGGGTGATATGATGCAGGAGCTATCGATCAGGCCCTTCGTAACCCATTTTCTGCCTTCTCGGTGGTAGAAGAACCAGTACATGTCAGTGCGTGCATGTGTGAAATGAATTTATCAAGATGCTCTGTGTATGCATTCTATGCGAGCGTGAGAATACTGGGATCAAACTGACAAAGCGGAGGGAAAAAATAAATAAACTAAGCTTGTTTTTCTGCATTCTAGGTAATCCGAGAAGTAAATCAGGTTCCATCAATCATTTCTACAACATATCATAATGGGTGAGTTGCATGGACTAGGGACTGCCAGAGAAGGGAGGGGTACAGGGTGGAGTTCTCAGGGTGGTGGGGGTTGGGGGACAAAGTAGGAGGGAATATAAGGATTGAGGGAAGGATGGGCCTCCTGCCCTGAACTTGAACTTGGAGCTGGTGGGGTCAGAGAAGGGAGGAGAGGGTCAAGCACTCAGCACAGCTGGAAAAGGGAAAAAAATCCAGTTGAGTGACATCAATATCTCCCAGCTTAAAGGCAGATGGGGGACAAGGGACAGAGTGCTATTTAGCACGCTCTGTTCCAAGACAATCCCAGCATATATACACTGATGCTCGTTTTACCGTCATTCAGTGTTTGCTGGTTTTGTAAAACACAGGCAAGAATGATCGCCTGAGATATGCCACAATCACTCTTTGGATCCTGATGCACAGACTTAGGAACGTGACCCAACAAAGGTGTGTGTGTGTGTGTGTGGGGGGGGGGGGGCAACAACTTCGACACTCTGGACTGATTCACACTGGTTAGGAACGATTTAAAGAGATACAAGATATGGAAGGCGAAACTTTAAAAGGGGAGTTGAAGAGTGCAATTTTGCAACAGTTTTAAGACAAAGCGCTGATCTACATTTGCAACACAGAAACACAATAAGTCAAACCTTGCTGACCATCTTACCTTGGTCTGGAGATAGTGGGGGTAGTAGTAGGTGTAGTGGGGGTACATTGGCTGCTGTTCCAAACGTTTTCCCATGTAGCTGGAATCCAGTTGAAGGTCCTGGAGGCTGATCACTTCCGAGGGGATGGCCTGAATTCTTTAAATGACTGCTTCCAAGAGTGGGGGATGAAGAGAGAACGCTCTCCTCTCACTGGTGAAGGTGATACACGCGCAGAAGGAGGAATGGATAGAAGAACAGATAGTGCTTGAGATTTTAGTCCGTCTACTTGTCTGAGAGCTCAAAGGGAATCTCACAGAACCATTCCTTGCGTGGGTCTGGAAAGAGATTCCGGAGTGGCAGCAGAAAGAGGTTTGGGGAGAAGGAGGTGTGGAGTGAGGAAAGGAAGATATGAAAGGATAGCAGAAATACGCGAAACAATAGAGGGAATTGAAAAGCCTGACTGAGAGGGGGGGGAAAGCAGAGGGAAGAAGAAGAGGATGATAAGGAGGAGGAGGGATGAACGGCTGGGTTTCGGTTGCCGGTTCCCTGCACACTCCGCTCTAAAAATTAGACTCACTCTTCTTCTGTGCTGCCCTGAACATGCCCCTTAATTTGCTTTCCAGTGTCTTTCTCTTGTCTCTCTCCAGCTCTCTCTCTCTCTTCCTGTGTATCCGTTTCCCTGTCTCGTTCTTCCTCCCCCTCTTGTGTACCAGACGAGACCCTGATCCCTCTGGGAGCTCTGCTGTATCCTGGAGAACACACGCTGTCCTCTTCTCTATCCTTAAAAGACAGTGAAATCAGCGATGAACTCACACATGGATGTGGAGCTGGGGAGAAAAGAGGAGGAGGAGGAAGAGGAGGCGGAGGAGGAGAGAGGGTGGTCTAGAGCTGAAGCTGTGACTGCCTTTTTTTTTTCCTCACTCCCTCCCTCTTTTGTTAAGCTCCGGGGATAGATAGGTAGATACTGCTGAAGCCCGGCGTGGAGGATGAGCAAAAGGAAAAAGCCGTGGTGAAAACTCCTCTAGCTGAGGAAGAAGCAGATGGCGTTATCCAGACGTGCACTCACACAGAGGAAAATCCCTTCTGATCCACAAGGTGCCCCCTCCAACTCTCTTCTCTTCCCCTCTCTTTCTTCTCAAGCTCACTCCCTGACGGCTTGCTTCCCACTGCGCCTGGCAGCCGTCACTGTGTGTGTGTGGTGGAAGTGGTGGCGGCAACAGCGGTGGTGGAGGTGGTGGTGTGTGCGTGCGTGCGGTATGTGTGTGACTGTGCATGTAACTGAGAGGGGAGTGTGTTTGTGTGGCTGTTGGCGTCTGCTCCACTGTGCGTGCTGAGGCATAGAGGGGCTCGGCTCAGCGCAGCTATGCTCCTCCCTCGCTCTCTCTCTTCCTCTCGCTGTCTGGCTCTCTCGCCCTCTGTGTTTATGATGGAACTATAGAACAGTGGGAGTGGCTGGTCCTGCCCTCTTCCAAGCCCTTGTGAGTGTGTTTGTGCTAAATAGAATATGAGAAAAAGAAAGACCGATAAGGGCTGCTCAGCTTGAAAGGTGGAGGTGGGTGGCGGTGTGAGCTGGGGTGAAGAGTGCAACGAGGATACATAAAGAATATTTGGAAAACAGAGGACCCCCTGCTGGCACCCTACAGGTGCAGCAACAATTGAGCAGCAAAATGGTCATTTTTCACTACATGTACGTGATTAATTAATGCCATCCTGGTTTAAACAGACTGTTGAGATTATCTAATATAACCAGCAGAGATAAATTAATACATAAAAGCTTATAAGCTTAAAACAGTCCCTTCCAAACTGCACAGGATGCCTTGCTGCACACAGCAATGCTACTTTCACACATGTCAGCAAAAGGGCCCGACATGGAGGGTGTATGTAGTTCAGTGGTTGTATGGCACAGTGACCCACTGACACAGTGCTGCCTGTTATGTGATGTAACCAGGTTTAAGTAGTGCTCTTACATAAGCAAAGTGAGCCATGCATGAAAAGGCTGCTCTGCCCTCTGACTACAGCTCTCTGTGAGAAAGAAAGATACAAGGGTTGGCAGACAATGCACTGCAGTGGAAAGAGGGGGTACAAGAACAGAAAGCATACATGAAAACTCTTAGATAAGAGCTTCATTTCTTGTGGGCAATTAAACTACTTTACAGCCTGTGATGCAAAAACACATTAATATTGTGGGCTCCTCTAAGAGCCATTTGTCACTATGCCTACATGTACATTAATTTTTTCATACCACTCTCCACAGGTTTGAGTGAGTCGTGCAAGTTATAAGCAAGTCGGGCTAATCTGGTGAGTAGAGAAGTCATTGCTCTGGTCAGTTAACTCAAATAACATTCGGCCGGTCTACCTTAGTTTACACTCACTGTAGTCATAAAAAAGTCACATATTCAGCAAAATCCAAACTGTAACAACTATACTGAGTGTTGCTCTGAAATTCTAATATAACTTTATTCTTTGAACATATTTTGAAGATGAAACCGTTTTCCTACATAACAGCTTCTGACCATATAAGGTTTTCATAATAGCAGCAATACTGGTCAGGACAAACCAGTTAAGCAAAACTGGATAACCAAAATTATATTTTTCACCTTAAAAATATACTGTAGCATCTCCCTCTCTGGTTTAAAGGGAAACTTCACGTACTTTACTAAAACTGACTGTTGAACTATTCCCATTGTCACAGAGTATTTTTTGGCAGTAGTGGTAAAGACAGCAACACTTGTCTCTACTACTACTACTAACATAATGTTTGAGAAACATGGCTCTCGACCAAAGACTATGAAAGTGAAATGGTCCTTGAAATTACTAAATATTATTGACCAAACCAATCCCTGTTTCGTTGTTTTCCCCATAGTTCACAAAAGTGGAAAACCCAAGAGGAGAAAATGATGTTTATGCTCCTGCTTTTCTTCACCTTAAGGATACCCGTGGCCTTAGATACTCAATATTTACAAGTTGAATGGGTGGTAGAGCCTTCAGTTTCCAGGCCTCTCTTCTGTGGAACCAGCTTCCAGTTTGGATTTGGAAGACAGACACCATCTCTACTTTTAAGAATCTTGAGGTAACTGGTTGATATGTGGTGCTGTAAGTCACCCTGAAACAAACTGTTGTGTTGGGCTGTTTAACGTCAAAATTGTGAAGACACGTGCATTCATGCGGTCTTCCCCTGCAACAGACTGGTGATAGAGTGGCTAAAGGCTGGTGCACCATGCTTCTTGCCTAAATAAGGACATGCTACAAAAAGAAATGGACAAACAAGGACTGTTTTTTCTACGCCTAACATTCAGACACACTCATTGTTCGTATGCATCAGGAGTAATTGAGTTCAGCATCTTGCGCTAGGATACTTCGACATGCAGAGTAAAGATGCCAAGAATCTACCCACCGCCCTTAGCAGCAGACCTGCAACATTTATGTACAGATGGAGGATGAACATAAACACTGCTCCATATATAAGAGATGGGTAAAAGATTCTATACCACTGATAACGATGATCTTTACAGCCTTTTGTGGATCAAGCACACTCAGGTCAGAGTTTATGCACTTCTGAACCCGGAGAACTTTTTATAGTTCTGACTTTTGGATGAACTATTCTCTTGTGTCCCGTGTCCAAAATGCATGAATTAGAGACCACTGTAGTGTTAGGACTCAGTTTATTGTCCTCTTTTAGCTCTTACTACAGAGAAGGTACAAAATATGAGTTCTTACTGACATAGGCGTAGTGTAATTGGTACAGATTTAATTGTAGGGCGACTGGTGAACACACTGATGCAGCTCCAGCAGCCACTGCCAACATATTACCCATGTTAACAAAAGCTCTTAACACAGTCCTTAAAAATGGAAGAAAAACACAACAAATTTAATGTCCAAGGTTTGTGGAGTGTGTATACAATAAATGAAATGAAGGGCAACTTTGACCCAGTATGAAATATTCTAAATCTTCACTACCAATTCCACGTAACTCCCCTATAGTCATCCACCACACAGGGAAGCAACGTAGAAAGAAAACAGAGGGTGAAACTGGATAACGAGGAAATAAAAGAAGAGGTTATGCTGCATCACCAACTGCTGGCCAGCTATAACATCCAATTTCTCTCAGCAACGCAAAAACAAACATTAAAAAGGTTTCTTGTTTCCAGGGAATTTCCCCAGTGGGTATTTACCACCAGGTAGTCCTCAGAACCGCTTGGTCAAATAAAGCTCTTATTAGGATCTAACTGGGTTTTCAAGAGTTAATTGAGGAAAATCTTACCGGTCTTACCTTAGCACTGATGTGTGAATGCAGGTCTGAGTCAAAGTGTGCAACACAGTTCTAACCTTTCATCGTGCCCGTAGGCAAGTCTGAATTCAGCACTGTAAATCCCTTTCATCTGCCTTGTTAACCATTTGACAAATTGAGCTTGTTTACTCTGCTTCTGAAACAAATGTGTCATCAGGAGTGCATACATTTATTTCAATACAATAAGAGTGTTAGGTAATCAAAATAACTTGATCTTTACAATTGTGTTTTTGTGCAAATGTAGGTGATGTTTAAGAATTGTTTTTGCATGGTTTAGTCTTCAAATTTGCTTATATACTGTCAACCACTTAGTTTTAGACTATTTCTTCTAAAGAACCTGTGATTATTCATTACAGTAAATTATTACTAACCATAAAATCAAATTCTTTTCAACCCAAAGTAATCCTGGAAGGTAGTAAGTCATCAGATAAATGGCTGCTCATCTTACAGTGTGTATGATGTACTTGAAATGGGAGACAAGTGACTCAGATTGAAGTCATTAGCCGACAAGCAATTAAGCACAAGTACAAACCATCAAGATTTCTCTTTTGCATGAAGAAAACAGGTTCCTGCTTTGACACACACTCTTCAATTAAAAAGAAAAAAAGTTAAGTTAAAATATGATGCCACATATTTTTATAACCATACAAGCTGCTCTATGAGGCTTAGAAACAATATTCCTCTGAGCTGAAGGCTAACATTGACATCCCTCTACTGTTATAGCATGCTAGCACCTGTTCATGTTAGGCTCAAAAGGTCATTTTTACTATAGTTGCTTTAAACTTTAACAGTGCTGGACTTTGCTACATTACATTTGTAACATTAACCATGGCAACCATTCTGGCAAGCAGGACATCAAATTAGCCAAGCTAAAGCAGCATCACCAACTCTCACACTCATTTTTTCCTCACACTCAAAGGAAGAGGCCTCAAAGTCTTTTTTTAATGTGCGAATGGCAACTTTCATATTTTAATAACACCACTTGTCCATAAACAACAAGGCATCTGAGACAGTTTAAACACTTAAACTTTCCGAAGGATAATAAAGAAGCTCTAGATGATTCATGCAATCCAGGTTAACAAAATGTTAATGAGGCTTGAAGGGTAGTTTATTGCTGTGTGCGTAGGAGTCTCTAGACATGATCCATTTAAACATCCCCAAATCGACAGACTTTCTGCTCTAAAATCAACTGTCAGGAGCAAACAGTTACTCCTGAACACTTTTCTATACCAGACAGGTGAGTCTGTAGTATAAATAAAAAATAAAAAATAAAAAAAGCATTTCCATTAATGATCATCATAATGTGCCTGATCTGTTTTAGTGTAATCATAAAAAAAGAAAATTGCAACAGATATTCAACAATTTCACAAGTTTAGGAAACTAAACTGCCTCAACAGTTTTATTAAAAGGAAAGCTGATTTGAGCAGATAATTTTGGGTAGTTTTCACAGAATTCTATTCCATCATGTCCAATCTTGAATCATTTCAAATGATCAAATCACTATTTTTATTATGTTGGGGAAATAAAACAAGCGATTTGTGAGAAACTGCCAGCAGCAGAAATTATGTAAGTATACCTTTAAAGAGCATCCATTCCCTGTCAGACTCTCACACACAGTGTTTGATCGAGTAAGGTTGCACATTCATTCAACACCATGTGCAGAATGCCAAAAAACAATGCATACAAGGAGCCAAAGGATGTGTATGTGTGTAATATTAGTAGCATACCAACCGAATGTTTCATGAATTCTTAAGATTCTGCTGACACTGAAGTTTACGAAAGAGAGGGAATTGATTCCTCCACAACTGCATAGTTCTATTATGAGCAGCACAATCTTTACATCTCACTCCATACGCTGCCAGAATAAAGCTTCCTAATTACCTTATCCAGTGACAGGACAGCCTTAATTACTATAGTAAATTCAC